TTGCGTCTTCATCTCAAATGATATATGTAATCGATGGAGACTTATTTTGTGTTCGTCTCTGCCTCGAGTTACTAGATTGAGATTGTAATAACAGAGAGCAATTTTTCGGTTGATATGGTTAGATAATTATTTAAGTTCATGAAAATTTTCATCAGCCATATATTTAATAATGCCTTGTGTTTTCGCTCAGTTTTTCAGATTTGAAATGAACTAATAGTCACGAAATCAAAAGATCTATAAGTGTTTGTTGTAGGGCTAAGTGAATGGGTATCTGAGAGGTGTTACTTATTCATTCAAATGATTATTAAGTTAAACAAGCATTGTTCATGGGGTACCAATTCACTTGGTCCTCGACTGAATTACTATGCATATTTCGAATATTGTAGTCACGAAAAAATAGAACAATCACACAGAGTTATATAAACAGTTGTTTATAACATATTTTTGAGATAGACACACTAACAGACAAAATGAATAATATAGCATACAAATTATCACTTGAGAATTTGCAAAAATCTCGAGCAAGTCTTGCCTTGCATGCACATGTGAAGTGCATTTTTTGAAAGAAGGAAAACTCAATTTTAATTAAGTACAATGAAAAGAAAAGCTACAATCAGAACTCACATTGAAATCAAAGCTATCGTTTCTTCAGGAAGAGAATAGGCAAAGTAGAATCTCAAAAAACATTTCATTCAATGGTATTTCTTATTTTCATCTCGTTTGTGACATCGAAAATATTTTTAAAAAGAGATGAGAATTGCTTTCATTTTTTATTTGACCTTATTACATTTCTATCACTTTAATTAGAATTTGTTCTACATGTGTGTATGTCTGTGTTTCTTAAAACAAGTGGCTTCTTCATCGCTCACGCACTGTCTTTACTTTCATGCAGTGACGTGTCTAATTGCGTTATATTCATGTGTGCAATGAAGAAGAACTAGTACGTGGAAGACATTATTTCTTTGTCTTCTCGTTAGCTTCGTTATCTAAGCAATATCGCATCGGATATAAACTTTTCTTTTAATTAAAATATTATTGCATTCCACATTGATAATTAAAGCAAAGAAAAAATAATTTTCTCAGAACACTTTCCACTACAGCTCATTTTATGTTATAATTAAAGCAGAAGAAGCAGAGTTCTTTTTCAGCTGAAGCTTTTAGTTTTTCATTAGTGTTGTCGTTTTGTTTGAATTTCAGTCGATAGACATGGTTTCATTAGGACAAATAACACATGATTTTATTATCTACGGGTTTTCCACCGTATTGATTATTGGGACAATTGGTAGTTTATTGAATCTGATGACATTTTTATCCCGAACGTTTCGAACAAATGCCTGTGCATTTTACTTGATTTGTTCTTCTTTGATTGAACTTATTTTCATCAATTTTGGTATTATTATCCGTTTCACAACGGAATATTTGGGAAATAATTTAATCGTTGTTAATCGTAGTATATGTAAAGTACGTGCTTATTTTCCACTATGTTTACCAATGATGGCTTCAACATGTGTTGTTTTGGCAGCATTCGATCGCTATGTTTCAACATCATCGAATGTACGATGGCGACAATTGAGTTCTCTTTCATTTGCTCGATATCTTTTTATCGTAGTCATGCTCTTCGAACTAGTTTCAAGTGCCTTTCTTCTCGTCATATTTGATCTTCGCAATGGAACCTGTGCACCAAAGCCAGGTTTGGAATCAATAATCGTCACAGTTTATACCGCTGTTTTTATTTTAATTATTCCTCATGGAGGCATGTTGACTTTTGGCATAATGACATGGCTTCATATCAAACGATCACAAAATCGCATCGTTCCAATTCAAGTTTCAAGACTTCCGACACGAAGTGTTCAACATACGAACCAACATTTAATCATTCTAACATTTCTACATGCTTTCTTATCGACAGTATGTGTGTCAATACGCTTCACCACGTATTCGTACAATGTCATAACAAGTTCGGTAAAGAAGAGTGCCGAACGACAAGAGATAGAATATCTTATTCAACAAGTCAGCATTTTAATTTACTATATCAATCACAGTATGGCATTTTACATCTATTATGGATCGAGCAACTTGTTTCGAAAATACTTTCATCAATCACTTAAACGATTGATTAATAAACTTTTGTCATTGTGGAAATGTTGTTGAGTTCATTGATGTTCGTCGTTGTAATGATCAAACATATACAAATAGATGTATCCAAATATTTTTTTTTTCTTTCACCAGGCTGTATCCAAATATATATTAATAATAAAGAAAAATGAATTCAACCTTATTGAAAAATCTTGTTGAATTCCCATCGTCACATCTCAATGTGTTTCAATTCACAAAAGTTCTAACGTACTTAAAATGAAACGAGTTTTATTTTCTGGATGCATCAGAATTCATCCAAAATCCTAAACAAGTTTCAATGCTCGGCATAATTGTAAAGCGTCTTTATGCATGTTGACTACAGTTATAGAATATAACGCAGACAAAAAGTGTAGTAAATTATGTTCCAGCAAAATGCTCGTTATGTGAAAAAAGAAAGTTGATACACAGATGTAAAACTCAAATACACGATGTATGACAATAGTATGTTCTCTTTTGTTCAAATGTGTTTTGCATTTAAATAAAAGCCATTAAAGAGAATGTTTGTTTGCAAGTGTAATGATGATCCATTTATGAAGGCCATGAACGATTCAAACGATATGCTTCGTCTATAATGTACCGTTTTTTTTAATTCGAGGATATGAACACGTATATTGCGAGAAGACTGAATTGCACAGATCGTAACAGATATGACGATAAGGCGAATAATGTGCTAGGATTTTGGCTCTTTTGAAAATACTGTTGAACTATTTGATTTTCCCGGCTCTTGCACATCACAGTTTGGGGCTTCAAATTATTGTTAAAAAAAAATATAAATTAGACAACGAGATTCTTCAACAGATGATCAAGGTTGAATTTATTTGATGCTAGAATGTAACTTTTGCAGCTAATTTGAATTGAAATTGCTGTGGAAATAGTAGCGTAGTCATCATGGGGCCAAAATGAACCATCATCTCGCTAGTAGTCTGTTTTAGTCTAGGACTGAGATATTTCTTAAAATACAATTAAAGAAGCGACGTCATCGACCTCATGGTGAGAACTCATTACATGTCATAAAAAAAATCAGACTACTTAAGGTTATACAGAAAGATCAGCTATTTTTCCAAGTACAAATACAGAAGGAAATGGCTTCCGGAGGAAAACTTATATACTGAACTATCAAAAATCCTTTGCTGAGTAGAGTACTATTACCCAATCAGTCATGCGAGAAGTATTTTGATGACTTCAATCTAGCCAAAGAGAAATTACCCATCATCAAGCCGTCGATTCTTCAGATATATATGCAGAACAGGATATTCGAACATATTTACTTATGATTAGAGAACCTATGTAGCCACGTGGGTCCAAACATGACCTGATCTTCTCAAGTGGAAAGTGTGTTTTATCAAGACACGAATAAAAATTAGACAATATTTGTTAATATTTTTTTGTTGAAAGTTTTGTTAGTATTGGACTGATTCACTGTTGACATTAAATGAAGATTAGATACTCTTGCTAGTCTAACCACCCGAAGCATCTGTCCGAGTAGAAGGAAGTGCATAATTCGAATATCGTGTGTGGATGTAGATGAGGATGTGCGTCTTTTCTTTCTCCATACCTACGCCTTCTCTAAAGTAAGTGTATATAGTTTTTGGTTTTTTTCAGGTACATATCGAAGGGATCCATAGAATCTGAGCCTCTTCAGGAATGGAACTGCCTGCAGCGTAGTACGAGCAGAAACATTTTGTGCAACGAAAATTATTTTTTCGTACGATACATCTCCTCAGAAAATGTCTGAGTATGTGCCTGGTTTTGTTCACGATTCGACAGTACTGATATTAATTTTTACTAGAGTGGCTCTGGAGAAAATTGATCATGTGTTTTGTATTCCTTTATAACAACGATCAAGGATCAATCATGCATGCAACCTATTATATATTTCCACATGATAGTTAGGTACCGGACTACGATCAGCACTCCATCCAAATCTTGTACGACTCATCAAACGGTAGTAGTATGATCGAAGTAAGCCAATATACAATGACACTTCGGATCAATACTGCTCAAAAAGAAGTTTTTTCTGGTATTTCAAAAGAGTATGACAGTAAAGATTGTTCAGCAGATATAACTTAAAATGAGCTAGTATATGTTTTGAACACGCATGAATTTGGTTGAGATAACTGAAATTGCTTATTTTCTTTGTTCTTCTTATGTTCCTCGATTTGTCGAGAACGGACACATATCACACCGTACAAACTTATTGTTGAAACAATGTCAAACAGTTAAGGTTTTCATCGCTAAACATTTTTTCACGTTTGACAATGGACTTCTATTGACTATTAACTAAAATCATTGAGTGATATATCTTAGAGACATGAAACGTAAGAAAATTGCGATGTAAGCTACTGTTTATGTTGATGATCTACTCCAAACATCTTATTGAGTGTCATCACTCCTTTAGTTTCACATGGGTCTTATTTTCTCTTTCTTGGTATCATTTTTTTTCTCCATTTCTTCTAACATCAATCGACGCTTTATCATTCTTGCTGTATTGACGACGTCTTTTTTGTTTCGTCGTACAGACAAATACACGCATATGATCTTGTGCAAATATCGTTATTCGGGTGATAAGTAACCTACGTTGAATCGTGAATCTTTCTTTGAGGATTTGAAGAGGATTAGAGAAAACATCAATATTTTTGATGTGCCTTGAAATCGGTAGATTGTTGCCGATATTCACACATCCATTTGAGCACAACGATTTCTATTCGCATTAAAGAAGACGATCCTAGGTATATTTTACGTCTCTTTGAACTTGCAAAGCGTGTTCCGTCATGATCGCTACTGAAGGCAGAATACAAATTGACTTCATTCTAATCAGTACCTGCCTATGAATTATACCCACTTGTATTTCATTTATCTTTAGAATGTCATCAATGTCAGTATCATCATTAAAAAAAGCCGTGGCCCAGACATTCGATGCAATTCGACAAAAAAAACCAATAATCTATCAGATTATGAATCATGCTATGATAAATCAAACCAGCAATGCTGCAACCCATGTTGGTGCTAAATCATTAATGGCACATGCGGTCAAAGAGGTTGAGGACATGGTTACACTGGCTGATGCGCTTGTAATCGATTGCAGCATACTGAATGATCTATGGATTCAAGGGATGTATCTTGCAGGACAGTGTTCTAATGCCCAGGAGATTCCAATCGTATTTGATCCAGTTCTAGTTGGAGCTACGACCTATCGCACGGAAGTTATTCTACAATTACTGAATTCTCTCGATATTGCCATTCTGAGAGGTAACTCGAGCGAGATTCGACATATTTACAATGCAACAGTTCATATTCATGAAGTTGACTCCAGCATCGACGTACTCGACCCAGGTGAGATCGTGCGTCAGTTAGCTCAGAAGAGAAATGGAAAGACTATTGTGGCACTTAGTGGTCCTAAGGACTATGTTTCTGATGGGCAACAGATTGTGGTAATTAAGAATAATTGTGGACGCCTTAATCAACTTACCGGTATGGAATGTACAGTGAGTGCTCTGATGGCTTGCTTTGCTGGTGTCACTAACAATTATTTGGTTGCAGCTGTCGGTGGTTTCGCTGTCATGGGTGTATGTGCGGAACAGGCTACATTCGACGCCTCAGTTCATGGAACAGCAAGCTTTCAAGTGGCTCTATTCGATCGATTGAGTACTCTTACTGGTAGCGAATTAGAGTCATTGATGCGCATCGATTTTATTGATAATTAAAAACTGAAGCATTTACCCATCGGAATATTTCAACACGAACGGAACTAATTTTTTATTTCATTTTTTACACTTAAGATCTTCATTTTATTTCCTATTTTTACAGCTGTTCTTCAGTTTATCTTCGAAGATGACGAAATTCGAACTTTGTTTCAAACTTGAATTTTGCAAATAAGACTAACTTTTAATACATATTGATACGTTTCAGAATCATCATATCTATTCTAGGATCGATCTAAAGTCACTCGTCTCGTTTGATTTCTTCGATTTTATATCAATTCAACAGATAAGTCAGATTATGTTGGTTTTGATCAGAGATTCTAATATTCAATGCTTGAAAAGCTTTATCATATGTCTAAGACACATTCCTATATGCCATGCCTAGAAGTTGGTAGATAAAATTTTACACGATGAAAATTGTAGGCTAGGGTGTGGGATGAGGTGGTGTTTGTATAAGTTTATCTTATATTAACTCACGCTCACACCCACATCCTCAATATCTGTTGTATTTAAATCACATAATCATACATTTTGAATGATCTGTTTGACTATTCTCAAATTCAGACAATGTTAATAAAACCATATCATATTAGTGTCATGTGACTCAGAATTTGAATTCGTATTTATCTTACAGTGAAACGGAATTTCTGAGATTCACTACTCATTGTTAATAAAAACGAATTTTCAACGGAAAGATTTTTCTATGACTAATAGATTCAAGTTAAAGGAGCAACATGAAATTGAACACTTCACGTTGTGATTTTGCATATAACACGAGATACAAAGATCTCGGTACAAAGCATTTGCTCATTTCTCAAGCATTCAGAAACAATTGTTGAGAGTCCAAGTCAGTCCGTTAGAATTAGGGATCACCCTTTATCTTTACCATCCTTTATTTTTGAAAAACCAACTTTTTGAGAAGTATTACCTTAAATAGAAAATAGTTCTTTCGAAAAAATATGTAACTGTCCAGTACGACTTGAGATTTCACTTATCGGAATAGTTGATTTAGTAGAAAATTGAATGCTTTACACTAATGTTTAGTTAAAACTATTTCAAAATATAAACTGTACATTATTTCCTATTTTTTCTTTGTGAAGACATTGCTTGTAGAATCCTTTGAAAAGATTTCGAATAGTTTAACAAGATTATGCGAAAACAAATGTCTGTGCATCTATTTCGAAAGAGCAAAAAGTTCGGATTCTAAGTGAGTGCTCTTGCCGCTTAACAATTGCTTCTATGTGTCAGACAAATGAACAAAAATTTCGTACAAAGATTTTCGTGTTGTAGTTAAGTTTTAAGATGTAGTTCCAGTGAATTGTTTTATGAATTTCTCAGCATCACTACAGGTCGATAAAAGAATGACTATTCTGTGCTAACATTCGAAAAACAAAACGAAATGTTTCTTTGACTTTCTTTTGTTAGACTATTACCAAGTAATGACTTGAATAAAACTGATGTTCCAATTTTCTATGGAAGTATGTTGCTATAGAGGATCACTGTTTAATGGTGAACAATAATTATTTGTCTTGATATTTTGTTTTCTGAAGGCCTTCTTACCTCCGAAATCGTTTTTTTCAATACAATGCACGGAGTTTTCATGAAACTTTTCGAAGATGTTCGGATAATTAAAGTACACTACTCAAGAACAAAGAGATTTACCGACTTTCAACTTCACTGTTCAGAAGATTTCCAGAAGCCACCACATCAAATTGAGATTTCATGGGTACAAATATTTTTTTTCAATATATTTCAAACTATTCTCATTCGGAAAAGAAATTTCTACTGCTTCGGATTAGGAGAAGTGTTCTGTTATTTTTAAGCTCATGTAATTATTACATCTTTCTAAGTCTTAAAATTCTAAAAACATTGGAAAAATTTTTCTAGAAACATGTGTGAGTGATTTGTTGTCGAAGATCCAATACAAAATCCATTTCTCTCGTTCCATAGAAAATACATCTACATAATAAATAAAACAAAGATCAGTTTACTAGAATGAACACTATTGAAAAGAAATTTGTTCCGAATTCGATAATTTATACAAAAATTCATGTCATAAAAAATGCCCTAATATTTTATTGTAGAATAAATTGAAGTTCTTTCTATCTTAAACATGAAGTATGCTTATATTACGTACAAAGTAAAAACGCATCTAGAATCTTATCAAGTGTCCTTTTAGTTACACGTTGAACTATGATAATAGACCGTAGCTGTAATAGCGCTTATAATTTTTCTTTGAACGTAACATTGGTCTTTCAGCAGAACAGATCAAGAAGAATATTTGTAAAGATTATCTAAATAAGTTTTATATCAAAAAGAAAAAAAGTCAAAGCGAAATAGAAAATGTTGAGTTCGAAACCGAAGTATAAATTCGTTTTCGTCGAAACTTTAGGTCAGTATTTGAAATAAGCCAATAGTGAAGGTCGTCGCTACTCCAAATCGAACATGATTGATTATAAGTATATCTTGTATGAAAGCTAATCATTTCAGACCAAAAACAACACTTTTCATTGTTATCAGCAAGACGAAAAAGTGTTTGAAAACATCGAAGAAATGATACCTTTTCTAATGGAAATAATAATTCTAAATATTCTACATTGGGAAATTGGTGAGCAAGTACATTAATTTCATTTTCATTTATTAAACGACGTTCAACAATCAAATGACGAATATGTTCTTGTGGAATAGAGTTCATCGAACTAACAGCTAAAGATAAAATAGAAAATATTTCTTTTTTTTTTTTTGGTATAAAAACTTAGAGAGAAAATATGTACGTGCTTGTACATTAAGAATTAATTTAGAAATCCGTCGTGGTAATTTCATATTAATTGATAAACAAGTTGTAAGTTCACGAATTCGACTAAATTTTTCATCAATGTCCAACATTTCATCATTTGTTGTTATATTAACATGATTGAGATAGTGAGTATATTTGACATCTGATGTAACTGATATATTGTATTTACCATTAATGATCGGTACTTCTCGTTTATCTTGTCGATTTGATGGCCATGGAAGTGAAAATAAATGTATCCATCTAATATTTTCATTTTCATAAAAGACAATATCCATTGTCCATATAATAAAATCATCAATAGATATTTGATTACCAATTCGATGTGTCATTGTATAATCAAATTGATCAAGATGAGGAACATGTTTTATTAGCATATATTCCATTGTCGATCCTTCAGTAAATCTTGAATCAGGTGTATCACGAATACTCAATGTTAATTTACGAAGATTAGGCATGTAACCAAGTATAGATTCAATATCATCAAGATTTATATTAGTAGAACTTTCCAATAATGTAAAATTGAACAATTGAGAACACAATACTTTACATTCATGAGTGTAACTTGCTGAAATAAATATATAAATTACAAAAATATTTCTGACTTGACAAATATAAAATCTTCTAAAAACAAGAATCTCGATCTTGCTCAAACTGAATTGAAATGCTTAAGAAACATTGAGGAATCATTAAATTGTTACCATAAAATTTTTTTCGTTAGGGTATATCTTTATGCAAAGTTTCAAGTTGAAATTTGAAAATCAGTTTCACTGATGTTCCTAAAGGGAAAATCTAGCATTAGTTTAAAAAATGTCATAAAATTGCATTATTTCCATAGCAATAACATAAGGACATGACATTTTTATTGACAGTATTTTTAGCTCGTTTGGCTCTACATAATTCACATACTCAAAAGCGATTGAACAGTCGGAAAACTTCTGTCGTTAGAGTTTGACACGATTAAATAATATTTAATTATATTTAGATTTTTTACTGAAAAGTCGAATTATATTTAGATTTTTTACTGAAAAGTCGAATTATATTTAGATTTTTTACTGAAAAGTCGAATTATATTTACTTGATTTACGTGATTGACGCAATTGAACAATGAGTATTTCGATATTTGGTACAAGTCCACTGAGTAATATGTATAAATCATCAATTGTGTGTAACACAACATTAAAATGACGAAGACTTTGATGAGGTTTTAAAGATCTATATAATGCAAGACCATCCAATGATTCAATGGTAACTGTATGTAGACTACACATTTGACCGGTAAATAATATATTATTGAATAATTCCTCGCGTTTATCTATGTGAGAATCTTCTAAAAGTGATAAAGGTATTTTTTTTTAACCTTACAATAATCAAGAAAACTGTTTACTTTCATGAAATAAATTTTCTTAATGATAAACTCACCTAGTTTTGTATCATGTTTATGTATAGTAGCATGAAAATATTCAAGTTTTCTGCAATCCGTATAATATTTTTTGATAGTATCAAGATCCTGCGAAGTACAATTGATTAAAGTAAGATGTGTCAAATTAATCAATACTGATTGAATTATATTATCAGGTAAACGGAAAAAATAATGTTTAGTTGAACAAAAACTATATTCATTATATAATGTTAATAATTTAGGTCGAATAAGATTATTTGAATCATAAAATAAATTGAACACATAATCACATTTGTACAATGTCATTCGATCAAGATTGATCTTTTTATAATAATTATGAACCCAACCATGAAGATATGAATTCGGTTTATCAGGTGTATAAAAACAATGAAGAATATCATATGTTGATAAATAACGGCAAATCATCAACAGAATTTCATTTGGTAAGTCAAGTAAGCAAGTTACATTACTACAAAAACGTTTTACAGGTGATATTTGATTAGTTATATCATCAATAATACTTTTCATATCTTTATTCTCAGATTATACGAAAATAAAGTACTATTTATATAAATCAAATAAAAATTGAAATATTGTTTAGAATTACTTCACTGGCTAATTCTTTCTTGTGTCAAATATGTTTTAAGAGAACAAAAAAAAATTGTTGGACGATCTATATATATGTTGACTTCGATGACATTCTATAACAGAGATGTCCATTGCGGCGCGATCGCTGCCGCTACCGCCACCGCGCCGCTGCCGCTGTGGCGGCAGCGGCGCGGTAGCGGTAGGTTTTTTTGGAGAACAATGCAAAAATGCATGAATTCGAACAGAATTTCAATGTTTGCAAGTGCAAAACTATGAGATTCAACGAATCTTATCGATTGGTAACAACAGCTTTAGTCCTGAACAGTCACAGATCGTAAAATTCACAACATTATTCTAACAATCATCGCGGCAGCGGTCAGTTTTCAACCGCGATGGACATCTCTGTTCTATAATGAACACATGGAACACAAATGATCGATTATCATTGGATGAAAAATACATTTCAACAAGAGGTCAGCTGATCATGGGAGTATTTTCGTTTTTACTATATTCTTCTATATAATCATTTCGTAGAACATTGATTCAAATAAGCTTTGAAATTTCGTATGCGATCCAACTGCAATTATTCTTGTTTTATGTCCATAAGCAAATATATATCATTCGCTGGAGTTTGATGATACATGATGTAATACAGATAGGACGAATATATCAGTCTTACCATTTGAAGCTCAATTCGATTTCAAATCTTGATGATTTTTGTCTCTATTTGTTATTCGATGGTACCCTATTTCATTCCTCCATCTCTTAACGTGCAATAAATATATAATGTTGCATTCGATTGATTTTTGAATATATGTGACGCAACATTCCAAGATACTTCAATGTACAGCGCTGTGAAAAATTAGATATCAATATTTTTTAATAGTTTAGAGATGTTTCGAAACTAAATTTAAAAACGAAACAAATCTCAATCTCTCGTAGATTCGAACTTAGCCTCTATCGATGTCATGTCATGGTAGTCTTAGCCTATGCTGACGTATCAGTTGAATAATTATCGTAAGCGATGAGAACCAGATTCGGACAAGCTTACGAGCTCTTCTCAGTTAAAAACTAAATTAACGTAAATTCTGTATTTATAACTTCAATTTATCAGGGGAACACCGTTTACTTTTGTCTAAGTAAACTGTTCAACATTAAGTATAAACTTTGTTTTTTCTGAAAAACTTAGCAGATTTAAATCACATTGAAATTTTCTATTATTTTTGTTGATCATGACCCACATGGAAAGATATTTTTTTTTCATATAATGATCATAACATGGCAAGTGATTATATATGAAACTTAAGCAAATGAAACACTAATTTACTATGTATATGAGTTCTAGCGTACACCTATTAATTATATAGTTGAAATAGTGTTATTTGAAAGTTTAATTCAAAATCATTTTTTCTTTTTTCTTTCTTGCATATTAGTGTATGGTTTTCATCATCTTAAAATATACGGTACAAATTGTCAATCGAGAAAACTTTCAGTCGACTAGACACGTCTAATCAATTGGTATTAGCACGCTAGAGAGGTTTCAAGTTCAAAATATGTGTTCATTCAATTGATGAAAATGTTTCTCAAAATACCACTATAGCATATTTTTTTTTATTTGGAATCGTATCTTCAGTTTAATATTTTTCTGCTTTGTCACATATTTTTGAAATGAAAGAGCGTCTGAACACGTTATAAATGCGCTTTAAAAGCAAGGAACGAACGCGTTCAGACACAAAATGAAATTGAATCCTGTCTAGAAGAATCAAGTTTGTATTTGGTTTTTACATGAGCACCCTGTTCGTTTGACTTATTTTGAATATTTTTTATCAATGTCATTTATTTTTGTTTCAAATCCACTGTTGATATATAGATTCATCTGTGCTCTTATAATGTTAATGGATGAAATGTGCATTTATCACATTGATACAAAAAAAAATTCAAAAAATACGTAATGCTTATACCAATGAAGAAATATAGAATTGTTTCGAGAATATGGATGAAAAGAAATCCATATCGTATCACACACACTCAGCCACACGTATCTGACACCTCTCATTATGGACTGTGTTTGTGTTGGCATGAGTGAAGAATGTATACCATTTTCTATGGTAGATGTATTTCAAATGTAATGATTTTTGTCTGATCATGACTTATCACTGACTGATCAGAACAATAGTATATAACGTCGTTTTTCTAACAGATTATATGAGTTTCATATCTGAATCTCATCAATGGCTGCCCCAGCAAGCATTTCTTGCATTTGATTTTTATTAGTTCATTGAATTTCTTCTCTATGAAGAAAGGCAATGGATTATATTTTTCTGTTTTTTTTCACACGGTCGTTGATGTATGCTATTACTTTTTCACTTCCTATGTATGCATTGAAATTGTAAATAATGTCAATACCAGTGTGTTTTTAAAGAAGAACAACATGTGAAGCCTGTCACATGTCTTTCGCTACGAAAATTACCGATAACTTGATGCATTACCTTCGTCGTAAGTCAAAAGAGGAAGAAAAAGAAACAACAAGCACTTCTTTTGCACTCACTTTTTTTCTGCTCTAATGGAAGAGGCGGACGATACAAGCTCTGATGTCATAGAAGTAAGCAGATTTTATGAACTGCTCTGTTAACCAATTTCAATTATCTTTACTAATAGTTAGGCACGGATGGATGTGTCGTCGAATGGCGTGACAAACATCTAAGTATGCATTTATACTAATTGAAAGATGTGTTTTTGAAAATGCAGGATGTCATACCCTAAAAATCGTCAACTAATCGCACTATATCGAAACAATGTGCGCCAGCTGAACAGCGATAAATCGCTAATTTTTTCGATTATTTCGAGTGTTTTTGTGATGAATTGAGATTTTATATTCTATTTTATTCCTGATTATATCGATAACTTTTGTAATCTTATACACATAAACGTGAGTTCCACTATTATTAGCATATTCAGAGTTTATTATTGCAATTCCTTATAGTTAAATAAGGGCACACTCGAAAAAAAAATGTTCGTATAGAGAAATAGAGCTTCTGAATTAAATTTTTCTATGAAAAGCATTCTTCCTCTTATTTGTTTTTGTTCGTAAATAAAAAATCTAAAACAGAAAAAAAAGAAATATAAATCCTAAACGCAAAGCAGATTTACATACTACGATGACAGTAGAAGATGTTATCATATATAAAGAAGTGAAGTTCTTCAATTTTATATGAATCGAAGATTGTAGGAGTCGTTTGAAAACTGCATTTAGGCCGAAAAAATCTGATTGAAAAAAAAAAACTTGATCTAAAAGTAAGGGAATATCAACTATGTATTAAAAAATCCTTTCGAGAAACAAATAAATGTGAATATGAAGTCTAGTTCAATTGTTTTCTGTAAGTGCCCAATCTCTTTCTTGTCACAATCGTGACATCCATGCTTAAACTAAATCTTTCTTTTGGTTTCGAACATACATGGTTATCTTGAAAAATGTTTTATAAATAATATATGATCATTAATTTTACAAATCTTGGTGATATTCCTCTAATTAACTGACAATTTGCAGTCAACTATTAAAATCATTTATTAAATACGATTTATTGCTCTAATTTAACGCCAATTTCTGAAAAACCATTTCTCGTACCATAATCACAATGAAATCTGATTTAATGAGGTATATTTTTCGTGACATGGAATCGTTTAGTGCCAGAACCATACGTTGGAGAAGAACGATCATCAAATGATGAAATCAGAGCCATGGAACAGTTTGCACGTGTCTTTTTTGAACGGTATTCAGCTCCGGGACCAGCACTTTATATGGGTTCACTTGATGAAGCTATCGCTCATTCTTTGTTTGATCCGAGCACCGTGAGTTTTTTCATCCTGATTTGTTCGTAGAGAAACTGGAATATCTTTGCGTGTTTTCTAGCCTTGTCCTTTAGTCCTCTATGTGCATCATGATCGCAGCATAGCTACAACCATGTTTTGCGAACGTGTTCTATGCGCCGAAAAGATCACATCTTATCTTGCCGAAAATTTTATTGTTTGGGCGTGGGATCGAACCAACGATATCAATTATCAACGGTGAGTAATAGAATCGTGCACATATCAAAATGTAATTTACAAGGCATAAGGGGTTTTTAAAAAAGGAACACCTTCAAGATCGATTCTTTTATTTGCCAAGCTTGGATAAGCTGAAAAAAATGTACCGAAACGAAACGTAAATATATCGGACGGAATAAAAACTTAAGTCAAAGAAGTATAACAGTAAACAATCGTAAAGAACTATAACTTGTAGTTTTCATACTATTCGAATTACACCCGCTTATCATCGCGTCATGAACTGTTACAAACGACCGTAAAATAAGCATTCTTGACTGTTGTTCAATGGCAACACTATGATATACAGTCGTAATACAACTAATAAGAAAACGGCAAGTTACCGTGATAAGCAGTGTAATAAGGTGATTTACGTCATCTGAATGAGTTGTGAATGACGATTGCAACTATTGTTCATTGGTCAACTAATAAACCAACTAGAAAATAGTTGAGTATTTTTCTTTTACACTATCAGATGTCTCAATTGCTTCCCATTTGTTTCTCTTCAGATAGAAGTTAAAATCATTAAATACAACAAATGCTCGTGAAATAACATTTAGAATATTTCTATCAAAGAAAACATGTATTATATCTATAGAAAGTTAGGTATTTACAGTAGAACTATTCGCTTTATGAAGTATTCGATAGTAGCCACCTTCACAGCTATGTCAAGAAATTAGGAAATGAAAAATCCGAAAAACAAAAATCAACACAACATCTCGAAAGACGAAGAGGCAGATGATCACTTGCAGTTTATTCTTTCTCGTCTCTAGCGTCCATTAAACATCATCCATTTCCTTTCTACTCCACACGTAGTGCAATTATACCACGGATCCTGTCTGCTCCTTTCATTCTTCAGC